TGACAATGCAAGTACTGTCAAGTCTTTAAAATCTGTTCAGAAGATTCTCCTTTTTCCTTGGGGTAATTGCTATAATCAGCAACACAATCCACCGTATAGAAATAATTCCTTTCTATAGGTATAGGATTCCACCTTCTTTCTTGCTCAGAAGAGCTCCAGAGCAAAATAAAAGCAGGGCACAGGGGATGTTGCTGTGAGATGCCTGTGAATTGGAATGTGAATTTTCTTAACTACTGTGAAGATCCTGCAGATTTTCTACCTGTGAAATCCTGTTCTCCATGGATCCGCCTAACTTCTGGCAGCTGCTTTCTAGCCTACATTAGAAACTAAATCACCTTTCTGTTTCGTCCTCCCTCACTCTCCTAGGAGACACTATCTCATTGTCTGCGGCACTGTTTTTCTAGTAAGAGATATTCTCCCTTTTCAGTTTGAGCAGGGAGGGACCCAACCAATACTAATACTGGAGCACAAGCAATATTTATTTGAGAGTTAAAAATTACGACTTTCGTAGGAACTCCAGTCAGTGCCCAACTTCTGCTGGGTTTCAGGAGTAATCAGCTTCCTAATCTCACAAAACCTTCCTGAAATACTCCCTAGCTGCCCCTATTTCACTCAAGCCAGAGGGAAGCGGTGGTGTGCTTGAGGAATGGTAGCCACCTATGCTGCCAGCATCTTCCATTACATACTTAGAGAGGCCAGAGCTGTCTCTAAAGTTACTGAAATTAGCCTAGTTCTGCTATAGTCAGCTGGTACTTTTGCTCTGAATTCTTGAAACTTTGGTTCTAAGGGCAGTCCCATGTTTCTGTAGAAAAGTACCAAATGCTTAAAACACCAAATTCTGCTCATCATATTCACATATGATGACTCGACCTCAGTGAGACAGGGGAACAGAATCTGATGGTGTTTGCTGGTTCTCTTTTAACAGATCTCCGTCAAATGAATGCCATAGTTTAGCCTCCAAATGGGTAAATTTAGATGGATTCATGCTACCTATTGTCCCTAGAAATATTTTCATAATCCTAATGTCTCTGAAGAGCTTTGGCTTGATTGCATCAGCTTGCAAACACTGCAAGACACATCACAGCTCCATCCCAGACCAGAAATTCTGCCTTTTATACATGAGTTGCATCACAAGAGAGAAGTTCCATCTCTTCTCTCACCTCTCTAAATATAAAAGAAAAAAAATACCTTGAGAACAGTATTTGCTACAGAACACAAGAAATACAAATTTACTAGTCTCCATAATCTCTTGTTATGTGATGGAAATAACAGCAGAGATGAAATAGTTGAAAGAGCATTTAAAAATGAAATATTTAGAGTAAACTTCCATCATCCGAACAAACAAGCTGAGTGCAAGAAATGCTTCAAATAAGTCTGTTAAGTTTTGTTTTGGGAAATGCAAGGGGTTTTTTTCCACAAAGATGAAATAGGATTTCTGTGGTGATAATGTGACACACAAGCTGTTCAAGAAACAATGGAGTAGTGATGTTTAGATTTAGTAAACAGTATCTGCACAGGCAAAGCCATGATTTAAAAAACAGGGATGCTGTTAGGTATCTACTTTTAGATCTTAAAAGTGTTTCTTAAAATGACTGTGCCATGCTCAATACAGCATGTAATATGCACTCGGAACCAAATGATCACTGGATGGTGATGATAAGTATAAGTCTGCTACGTGCATTTTATTCTGACTCTATAACATACATTCATAGAATACATCATAACCACTCAGAGCAAACCACTAAAGTGGATGCCCTGAGGGCACATTAAGTATGTTGTCTCCAACACTGGCTGCTCAATTGCCAGAACACTGATACAGAAAGGGCTCATTTTTGCTTTATATCCCCATTTTGTGCTGAAAGAGTAAGAGCTAGCATCCCCTGCTCCCTCCATGAAAGGGAGCACTGTGGAGCAGGCTAATTGCCTGCTGTGAAAAAAGCCCTTTCAGAAAGAAGTAACCACCCTGAGAAGGTGCTGTACAGAAACGCAGGGAGCAAGTCTTGGATTAACTCTTGGGTAAGTGGACCTTTGTACTGGGTTAGGCTGGGATGGAGTTAATTTTCTTCACAGCAGCCTGCATGGTGCTGTGTTTTAGATTTGCGACCAAAACAGAGTTGATAACACAACAATGTTTTACCTGTTGCTGAGCAGTGCTTGCACAGGGTCAAGGCCTTCTCTGTTTCTCACTCTGCCACCCCAGCAGAGTAGACTGGGGTAGGGCAAGAGGTTGGGAGGGCACACAGCCAGGACAGCTGACCTGAACAGACTGAAGAAATATTCTATACCATATAATGTCATACTCAGCAATAAAACTGGCATGTGTGTGTGTAGTTCGAAAGTAGCCATTGCTTGAGATTGGCTGGGCATTTGTCTGCTGGTGGGAGGTGGTGAGTGATTGCTTTTGCATCACTTGGGTTTCTCTTTTTTCTTTACTTAATGAACTGTCTTTTATCTCAACACTTTTGTCCCTCCAATGCTCTCTCCCATCCTGCTGGAGCTACTGAGCAAGCAACAGAGGAAGGGCTTACCTGCCAGCTAGCGTCAACCTACCACAACGTGTAACGGGGTTTTTGACTTTAAGTTCTCCCTTCTATGACATGCTTTCCTAATGCAGAAAGTCCTTGGGTTACCATGCGAAGCTAAGGCCACACGTAAAACCCCATCCTGGTTTTGGCAGCTGAGAGTGTGAACACAAGCTACTGGAAGGCTGAAGATGCAATTCTAAGATGGCCATACCATATGTTTAGTCTAGCTGTGGAGCAGCACTGAAACTGTAGAAGTGATGGGCTGCACTCCTAAGCACAGCAAGCACAGTGATGGAGTGATATCATACAAAAATAACCACCTCAGAACTTCAGCTCAGCACTCAACTCCCCCTCCCATTCAGTCCAGGTGATATCCTGAATCATTGCCTCTGGAAACTGAGAAGGCATGTGCTAAGATCGGTGGGACAAAGGGGAGCTGACTCTCTGCCACTTGGCACTCCTTTGCTGAAAGAGCAATACAGAAATGAACGGTAAAGGAACAAAAAAAAAATCTCTAGGGCTGGAAGAAGCAATGAAGGCAACACACTGCTGCTCAACTGCCAAATAGAGAGTAAAATAATGTGGAAAAAAATTAAACAATTTAAAGAATGGCATGCCTTTTTTCCTTTGAAACCTAGCTGATCAGAGGCTATGATGCAGATGGTCTGCAGAAACCAAATGCTGGGAACCAGTAATCCCATTAACTTGGTTTTGAAACCCAAATTGTCCAGCCTGAATCTCCAGTCCTCAAGCACTACTTGTTTCAGTGGACTTTGCAAGGAGATGATTTCTCTGTCTCAGCTGTCTCATTTGCTGCTCCTGCAGTGTTACTCCCAGTGCAGCATCACTCTCTAGTTAGTCTAGACTGCTTCCCACAAAGCAGTCCATATACTGGCTTTAATAACCAGCTGGCAAAGAAAGTACTTAATCCATCACAACTGGCAGACCCCAGCACCACTACTGCCAACTACGGATTTACATGTCAAATGTTCTCCCACTCCACTATCCCCACTAGGGAAGGAAAGCAGAGTCTAAGTTTGTCCTGAAAGGTTGTCTCTTCAGACGTCAGCCTTCTGCTTATCTCCTTGCACAAGACAGAGCTGGAAGAGGGCAGCTCATAGTTTGGTTGCAAATGAACTTCAAAGGACATTCAAAAGCTTTAAAGGGCCACTGGAAAGCCTGCATGTTGATGGAATGCCTTTTTGGCATGACTGAAAAGCTGTGCATGCCAGATATACACTCAAGAATGGTGCACACAATTTTATTAAGAACTTTGTAATGATATAGATTTGTCACTTAAACATTACAACTACGCATAGAAAAGTGTTGCCTGTATCTCTTAAACACCATGTAAATAAAACAAATTTATTTTTAAAACAGGATAAACTGCTATAAAAATGGTGCACAGTCAAGTCATATAAAAATACAAAATTTGTTTCCAACTGCAGTCCTAGTTGCAATTACAGAGAAAAGCCCCCACCCAGGACTTCCGGTGAGCAGAGAACACAAACTTGTGGAACTGGTCATGGCAGAAATTTGTTGTCAAAATGAGCAGAACCCAAGGCTTCAATCAAAACACCTCCAATAACTTCCAAACAAGGTGGAAATTAGTTTCTCTGGAAGCAACTGGGTATGCGGTAAGTCTCTTAGTTTTGGAATCCAGTTTCCAGGATTCATCTAAACTAGTTTTTAAATTTCTGTTGCTAAACCCCACTTATCTCCACAAATATCAGTGTTCAGTGCCACTGCTGTCTTGAGACACTGGTACAGCAGGAATGCCTCCTCTCCATGAAATTAAGGCTGCTCCAATGCTTATTCTACATAGTCTGAGCTCTAACCTGCACTGAGGCCTCACCAGTGCTCCAGTCTGAATCCCCTAGGTTGAAGCTCTAGTCCAGTTAGCACTTAAATGGATGTGTAACTTAACAACTTCCATACTTAGACAGCCCTCCTGATGTCAGTGGAGCTACTGATACGGTTCATTAAATGAGTGTCTAAGTGCTTGCAGGATTGGATAATTCTGACTCCCTGCCTCCCCAGCAGCCATCATTTCTAAATGTATTTTTATTTTCATACCTTTCATATAGTTTGGGTTCTGTGATATGAAAAGAGTAAATCCTTTTAATTGGCTTACTGAAAGAAAACTAAACAAATTTAAGTTATCAAATGACTTCTGGAAGCAGAAGTGAAATATTTCACTATTGCCAAAAGGTAAGAGCACTGGTTAGCTACATGATACTACATATTTTTTTTTTTTAACCTTCGGCAGCAATTTAAAAGTCTGATTCTCTGAAAGGAAGCACGGATAACTGCTTACTTATTAAACCTTGATAACACCACTTGTGCATGTCTCTACCTAGACATACCTCCACTCCATCACAAAGCTTCTGTAGAAGGGCTTTTCTCTTTCAAAAGATTTTCTTGAATGGAGTGATTGAACCATTGAGGCATTATTTATTTGTACAGAGCTTCTATTTAGTGCAATAAGTTTAAAAATTCTGCTCTGAAATATTAACTTTACATTAACAAAAATAGTTTTCTTAAAAAAATTGTAACAAAAGGAGTATATAGCATAGACAGATCATGAATTCTTAGCAAATACACTTGTAAGCATTTACCATTACAATATGCTGAACAATTGAATATTAGCATTCATATCTGGTGAGCTTCCAGACTGAAAAGAAATGTAAGTATATAATAATAATAATAAGAAGAAGAACAAGAAGAAAAGAGCACGTTCTCTTGTAATTATTTGATAACTTTAGGTAACTATCCTGGCAGTTACACTTCCAAAGAAATGTTTCTCTGCCCTTTCCTTTTTTAGCCACCCGCTACAGTACATACAAATATGGATGAAACGACAGGCAAGGAATGGTCCCTTCCACCTCCCAGAGCTCTCTGGCATTAAATGAAATGAAGCATACAGTACTTTTTTGTACAGTAGTACAGTTCATTTCTCTTCCCATCCTCAGCATCGTTGTATTTAGTCATGAATTAATCATGAGTATGGCTAAGACTGAGCTTTAACAATCTGTTATTTCAATTGCTCATATGGAGAATCCATACCCTTCGAAGGAGCGCTGCTGAAGTGTGAAGGAAGCTACTGAACTCAATGGGAGGATAGAGGGCAACGGGTATGAGGGATAAATAGGGTAAACCAGGAAGTTAATTGCATATAAAAATTATCTGTCCCCATTTTGTAGTTTCTGTTTAATAGGAGATGCAAGGGCTCCCACACACCTGAATACCTGAGGAGTTGGTTATTGTGGTATCTGATACTGATAAACAAAACTGTGCCCTGCCAGGGCTGTAAAGTAAAATGACTGCTTACAAATCCATTCAAACTAAATGAACTCTCACTGAAACCACCTTTTGAAAAACTAAATTTGAGAATTTTCTTGATTTGAAGGTTTTCCTTACATGAAACTGACCTGAATTTAATGCAAATTTAAACAAACTAAACAAGTAAAATTCTCAGCAGATTAGCAGTGTCATGGGAAATCTGTCTCTAAACGCAGTCATCATTTCAGATTATCTTTACAGTGATACCTCCTCCAGATTGTAAAATAACAAGCAGATAAGAATCAACATTTCCATGACCACAATGAATAATTTAAAAAATGGAACAATGATAAAGCTGCTTGTAAAAGCCACCCGTATGAAAAGAGTACATGTTTCACAAAAATAATTGTTAAAAAAAGTATTAAATCCCTGTTCCTTTTCTCTGATTTTGGCTGTTTATTTTTTTATATATATATATATATGTGTGTGTATATATGTATATATATACTGTTTTGGAATGTCAATGGGTTCCAATATGGCTGGCTAGTTTCAAGATGAACTTGCTCCAGAGGCCTAGAAAACAAAGCCATACAGTACAGTCTTAGACAAATGCCAAAGGACAAGGAGAAAGTGAGTCAAAGGGGACACTGGAAACCATAAAGAAAGAAGTGTGAAAAGTTTTTTTTTTTCTTGTGCCTTGATACAAGAACAGAAGGTCCAAAATGTTTCCTCATCTCTGATATTAATACCTATTTAAAATACAGCTGCACTTAGGGCATTTCACTTTTAGAACTAATTGTCATGTCTAAGAAATACTTGCATTTCAAGGAGACTGAAGTAAAACAGTATAGACTCTATTTTCAAAAAAAGAAGAAAAAAAAAATATCTATTTTTCAGACACCCAATTTTGGGACTGTAGGCGCTACTAGTACAGAATAGACTTATGAATGATCCTATTCCAGATGTAACAGAGGCCTTTATCTGTACTTTGGGGAAAGGTATCAGAAATTTCATGGAGGTAACTGCTGTGTCACATCCTTGTCAGGAAGTGAGATCCTAGTTATTTCAGAATCTATTCAACTGGAGCTGAACGCCCAAAAACGGAAGACCACTTGAGAAAACAAGGCCAAATCAGTTCCAAACAAGACAATCACATGAGCAGCAGAACTGGGAGTAATTCAGCAGGTGACACTCAGGCTGAGCCCCAAGTGCTCAGCATCTTCTCCAGCAGTCCCAAGAGGACTTTCAGCCAGTGCCAGGCTCAAGCACCTAGAGTCAAGTTCCTAAAAGAGCAAGACTACCCTTGACTTGCAAGTACTTGCTTTACCCTTTTAGAAGATGGGGTCAGTAAAGGTTTTAACTTCCAAGCTTTACGCAGTCAAGTACAAAAGTATAAGTAGCAGTCTGTGCTAGCACTGACAAGAGCATAAGCGGAAAACCACTTAAGGTAAACCAGTTGTTTGAATTAGAGGTTAATATAAAAATTTGGACTGAGATTTTTTGTGCATGTGACTAGAGGGTTTGCACACCCAATTCTCAATCATTGTAACAGCAGCTTTACATCTACAGTGTTCAGACCACTCTGAAAATCCCAACATCAGTGTCTGTTTGAACAGCTAGAATTACTCCCAGAACAAAACAGTAAATGAGCATAGAATTAGGTTTTTTTAGATAAACACAGCAGCATTTAGGCATAAGCAAATCTAGAAACTAGTATGCTATAATGAAATAGCAAACCACGCAAAGCTACACATCTATCCACTCTACAGCAGGAACCCATCCCAGCTTGGTCAAAAAGTACTCATGCAACATGGCTTCACATACATCATTGAAAAAAAAATTTCTACTGTTAGCATACACTTATTTAGATTCCATTAAGTTAAAAAATTGTCCCCATGGTAAGGAACTGAGTCAGGCCCCAAATACTCTGAGAAAGTAATGATGGAAAAATATTTTATTTCACAAAGTCATATCGCACGATGACAAGTCATACCTTGCCCAGCCTGGCTCTCCATCATATGCTCTCAGTTCTCCACCTTCCAAACTTATCCTCCTATCTGTTATCTGCACCATGTATAGCTGTTCCTTACTCCAGGCTACTCAGACATGCAATGCCTTCCTAACAGGCACACCATAAGTAAAACAGGCTGCAGAAGCATAAATGATGCATTGTTCACTGTCTGTGTATCTGACAGTGTGAGATGGAAAGAGCACACAAGAGACAAGCAACATAAGTAGTTGGCAATAAAAACAAACAACTGGGAGAAATGTCATTTGAGCAGGTTGAAAGGAATCACTGTATCCAGTTCCTTGGCACTGTATAAAATAATTTGGTAAGAGCTTTAAATGCCTGGTCCTACTTTGCAACAATGGATGCGCTCAGTAGTGTTCTTCAGGCTTTTACAGTGAACCCAAGATGAACAAAAATTGTTCAGCTCAGGGCTGAAAAGAGGATTAAAGCCAGAACAGCCCAATGAATTCCAGAGCCATTGTCCTGGTTTCAGCCATCTTATTTTAAGAGTACTCGGCAATTGGGGCTGTCTGTGTATACCACTAAGCATGCACTACTAATCCTAATGAAATGATACTGCATTTGTTTCATATGACACAGTTCCTTTCATCTTACTTTTACAGGAGATGGTCTCAGCTGTGACAAAAACTCTGCCATCCAGGTGATAGGCAAGCTCACAAACAGAAAAAGCAGAACATCTTGAGTGATACAGAGAACAAAAACTTCTCCTGAAGAAGTGCAGTCAGTAAAGACAAAGAGGGAGAAGAAGTAAAAGTGAAACTCTTGGAGGATCGCCACCTCCTCATCTGCACCTACCATTGGTTTTAGCTCTCTGCCCTCAGCTCCACCTCCCCGGACAGCTTCTTTCATAGATTTCCTACTATTCTCCACAAACTCCTGAAAAACAGTAATGAAGTGAAAAGTGCTTTCTTAGCGCAGACTCTCGACATCAAATCTCAAGACAAAACTTCAAGATGTAACTGCTCAAAATGTCAATACAACTTGCTCCTCCCACTTCTCTTGCTCAGACTTGCCCACAAGGTATCAAAAAAGCCTGCCAAATAGCCACAAGGGTCTCCCTCATTTAGTTCTGGAAGACAGACAGGTATTCGCCTCATGTGCTGTTACAACTTTTCCATTTACCATACAACGCCCTCCTTTATGGGGAAGGAAGGTAGAAGGGTGGTTGTCAAAAAAACCCAAACCAAACAAAACCAAACCTCAGAGATCCCAGTTATTACGTCCTATCCTGTGAACTATGTGTGATATTAGAACTCCATCAAACAGAGGCACTTGGAGATAATTACTTGCAAGGTCATGTTGATTTCTCTAACTTCCCTCAATTAAAATTATTAAATTTTTCACTGGATCACAGTCATCTGTTCACAAAGATTACCAAAGGTGCTAATTCAATTTTATGTAATTTTTTTCTCTTAAAGGCAAGCATTCTGTAGCAAGTTTCAGTAAACTTGACCTGCTGGTGTTTTGTGATAGTGACTGCTGACTAAAGAAACCCACAATGCTTTTACGATTTATCTGTGCTGTTTTCCGAGACAGCATGCTGCATTTTATTCTTATTCTGTGCTAAAAAACAACCCATCGGCTACCGTTTTATTTATTATATACTCTAGATTCTGTAGTGTTTTATGAAAAATTTAACATTAAGTTCTTGGCATGGCTTTCCAACAAGTAATCAGGAAAAAAAGTTCTGCTAAGAAGTCATGAGGTCTTCCTCTAGCCTACACATGGGGGTACATTTTACAGGGACATATTCTACCCACTTAAAAACATTGTCAAGAAAATTACCTACTCGACAACAAACTGGAGAGCTTGAGCAGCAGAACTTTTACATCTTGGTCTCTAGCTACAGTGAACAGGGAATAAGATGGAACAAGCAAATAAGAACTGAATTGTGCAAAGGGCCTTGACATAGCATCTAGGCTCCGGGACAGAACATAAAACCTGTTGTTTCTGTGCATGACAGACTGAGAGTCAAATTCTGGTGGCTGCCTTTCTGAAAGAAGAAAAATTCCAGTGTAGTCACTATCTGTGTGCGTGGTAGAATACTCTGATATTTTTTCTCTTTCCCATCCCAGGAGAGGTCCCTCTTAGGAAAGTACAAAACCCAAGCTGTTACCCCTTGTTTTGCTCCTTTCCATTCTGCACCATTATAATTTTCAAGAAATGATACCCAAGAGTATGATTCTGCAAGATGACTGCTCATCTAACAGCCAGCAAATAGAAGCCAATACCAGTGACGCCAAGGGAAGGAAGCATCGTTATTTATCTGATGCTCATCAGATCACACTGTTGGCTGATCAAGCCATGAACAAGACCGCAAGGTAACCCAGGTAAAAAAAAAATTACCATATTAAACTCAGCTAGTGAGTTAATTCCACTGTCAAAATACCCATTTTATGGAACCATATGCTTAGACTCACGAGACCAATGGGAAACTTACCATGAGAACTTTATCCATGTAGAATTCCCTCCCAGGGCTCCCATCATTGTATTTTGTATCGATGGCAAAACACAAGAAAAGGACATCAACAACCATTTCATAAATGGACAGGAAGCAGTGAGCAACCAGGAATGCAAAGAGGCAGACAATGATGAGTGGCAGCACCCAGATGGTGTAATCCCGTTGGTAATTCAGCAACATAATCCCAGCCAAACCTGTACTGCAGACAATCAGGACCTGAAGAAGAAAACAGTAGACAACTCTAATGGCAGAAGCCTTTTGATCTTTTTGGTTTGGTTTGGTTTGATTTTACTTTTTTAACCTACATGCTTCTTGCTCTACCAGGGCTAGAACTTAGAGGTTACAGATTCTCGTGGTAAAGACAACTTTACCTGCTGGATTCCCCACAGCCCCAAGTGTAAATGACATTTATCCATTGGTCCAGCATGTGCAAATCAGAATAGTTTCAAACACATCCTTCAACAAAAAAGGTATTTTTCAGAGCAAATTACATTTTTATACTGCTGTCATAGTTCTAGTGTTATAGAATATTCCTGTAAAAAAGAACTTTATCCTGTCAATTATAAAACCCCCAGAACTTGACGCTACCAATCAACTAACATGCAATTGTTTTTTTAGTTGGGGAGGGGGAAGAAAGTAGGCCTTAGGAGGATGGAAGTTTTTCATTTTGCTGGTGGGAACAACTTCCAAGCTTGTCTTATCTCTGTCTCATCTCCATACAAGGGAAGGTAGATCAGAATTCACATGAGGCACTTCATGTAACAGTCTCCACAGAACTACACTATGTGTGACGCCCTAACAGGTATTTCACTGGGTACCAGTTTGGTCTTTGGGAATAACAAAAGGACTAAAACAACTGTTGTGGCCACTCAACGTTTTGAACATTTCTGAACCTATTACTATGAACTGCAGCTAATCAGGAAACTGTAAAATAGGTCATCTTTACTGTATTATGAAAATACTAGCTTGGACTGGTAGGGGAGACAGGCTAGCAGCCTAGGACTGTTTTAGCTGATACTATATTTTATATACTGCACTGTTCATTTTAACTTTTCTGTCACCTGTGCATTTCTCTAATAATTTGAAAGACATCTTTTCAGGGATGTCTTTTCCTAACACATTTCAGACTCCTCCATAAAACCAGGTTACATAATTTCATGGTCTCCCAAGCACCTATATCTTCATTATGTGTTTATTTCTTCTCACACCTTATTGATTTAATTACTGGATTAAAAGTTCAGCCCACTGTACTCTGACTTAATAAAAGTAGAGGAATGTAGTAAGGAAGACAGTTCAGTCCAACCAGTGTCTGAATGCTTAGCCACAGGTGGTTTAAGTTTTAATTGTTTTAGTATATAATGGCACAAAATCCTTCAAAGGGCAGGAATAACTCACTGGATTAAGTTTCCATAAAGTAGATCTTCATCAGCTGGAGACCCAAAAAGCTGACTGACCACAGCAATTATTCTAGTCTCCTTTTAATTCTCAGAGTAGTTGCTTAAGCTGGCAGTTCCTCATAGCAGGCTTCTGTACTACCTTCCAGTCCAATTTTGTCATAAATGGTGATCAATGTGTCAATTTTCAACATAAACCTGGAGAGCCTTTACTACTTACTAAATAGAATTTAGAGAAAATGCTTCCTTTCCTTACAATTCTAGGTTTTAACCACAAAACCAATCAAAAGCTTAGAACTTCCAATCACCTTTCTCTTGACTCCCTAAAAATAAATTCATGCAAAAGGCATCATCATCTTCAGCTATTCCTTTCTAATCACTTTTACTTAACATAAGTGGATCATCTGTTCACCCTCCCTATCCTGGACAGTCCCTTCCTGACATGATGCAGCTAGATGTGATAAAGTGCATGCTAAGAAACAGGAATTTTAAGGCATTTTGTATTTGGGGTGCAAGCCATTGCTAAGGAAAGCTTGGTACTATGTAGGTCCATAGCAACTGTATACAGCAGACATACCTTTCCTAGAAACAGCATAAAATCCCCAACTGTGTTTATGGCAGCCACTCGCAAAGCATTTTCCACTAGAATAACAAAGGCATCCTTTGCTGACGTGCAGAAGTTGGTGCTGTTGATAGCTGTGGCTGTATATGCGTTCTGGGAAAAGGAGATTGAAAATTTACTCATGGAATGATCATATATGTCAGACAGAGCCAGGGGAAGGAGGGGTGAGATACGGCTTCTGAATAAGTCACACAAGTCATATGATGCTAATGAACAAAGATTCCCTTGAGAGTTGTTGAATCAAGCAGTATGTACCAGCTGACAGAAGCCTATACAAGGTAGAGAATTCTATTCTCCTCCCTTGCTCATCATTTATGCATTAACAAGTTTATTCCAAAAAACTTCTTAAACAGAATTTGCAATGCCTCTGCAGGAGGAGGTGAGCCATGGCATAACTACAGCAATTAAGTAGTTAGGAAAAATATTCTGGAAATACAGAAGAGTTTGAGAGTCATACAAGCCCACCAAGATAATTTCTAGATACTTCACTAGACTGCATTCAAGGTTAGCCAGGACAATTTTCAAGGATGACACTGGGGTTTTTTAAATGCTTTCTTCTGACTTTCTATATTTCCACAAGCAAAAAAAATGAACAACAGTGAAAAAGATATTTACGTATGTATTTAACAGAGGTGGAACCACAGGCCAATAAAACCTCCTTTATAAAGGGACCTGACAAGCTAGTGTGTTGCAGCTTGTGTAGATGATGATGACAATGTGATGTTATGTACAGTTTTTCAGCTGTGTGAACCTTAAATATTGCACCTAGAAAAGCTTCACTCTCTTTTCATAGCAAACATATTTTGAAACTCAGATGTAGTTTGACAGAGTGGGCATAAGGGGGAACACCTCCAACCACTAAAGAAATTGTTATAAAGTTGAGATAACATATTCACAAAGATGAATACTGGCTATTTTTCACCTTTGCAATGTAAACAAAGACTAATGTAGTGATTTGCAATGTAATTTCAGTAATGGAGACAAGACTGAAGTACTGTCATTCAAGTTCAGTTCCAAAGTATGATATGTGTTAGCCTCAGACTGCATTCTGGGAATATATATATTATCAACCCTTACATAAAACTTGAATATTGAAAATCTTACCTGATTTAAGTAGGTCAGGCACTTTTCTAGACACCAAAGGCAGCAGATGCAGGCTTTAAGCATACAGCGAGCACAAGCATTTTCCTAGGAAAGCACAGAATGTGGGAAAAAAATATAAAAAGTAAAACCAACAGACCGTAAGAAAACAGTATTCCTTTGTGTTTCAGTAACTGATACTCAGCTTGGTAACTTAAGCAGTGCTGCTCAATCCCACAGTGCTTTAAAGACCAAATATTCCAAAACAAGACTTTCAGCTTCCCATACAGATTAAACTAAATTAGCTGTAAACACATCAGGTCTTGAGTTTCAGTAAGAAAATGGAAACTATTTCTCTTACTTTTCCTTTGAGTTGTGTATGAATATACATAAGGATCATTCGTGGTATCTTCACTAGTGTGATAATGAAAGACCCCTTTGCTACTGTTCCTAGGTGGTAACAAACAAGGCGATTAACAGATGCCAGAATAGGAGTAAACGGCAGATTCCTTTTCTCCCTGTTGAAAAGAGAAAAATAATAAAGGAGAATGATCAGTATGTATGTAACACCATCTAGAAGTGCTACAAATTCCCAATAAACTAACATGCCAAAGGAGTGTATTATCCTTATACTAGCTTTCGGGGTATATTGTTCACTCCACATTGACTGACTGCAAGTCACAGTTTTGGCTCTAATGCAGTAACAGGCATAGGATAAGGAATCAGTATGTCTTAAGGGTAGTCCTACTAGCAGTTGGCTGCATTACCACTATCACCAGCTAGCAGTTTCTATACAACTACATTTGATGGTGTGCAATTCAAAACCTTCCAAAAAAGTGAGAAACAATGCTAATATTTTATTAGTCAGATTACTGATAAACTTGCTTTCCCCTTCTCTCCTGTTCCGTTGGACATCTTTATGGAGACTTTGGAGTATAGGGTATTACTATTTTTATTTATTAGGTAAATTCTTTCCTCAGATGTTTCACATTTCTGATTTAGCTATTATATCCTCAAGGAACCAAGTATTAAGCTTTAAAACAAACTATTTTATTGCAACGTGGCTAGAATATTTTTGATCTATCAGATGAATACTCACTTGCACACCTTTGAAGCAATTCCCTCTTAAAGCTTTTATTTATATTTCCCATCAAGGAAGCAACTTCTGTTTCTCTCTCAAAGAACAGCTCTATTGAACACTTAAAGAATGGCTCGTTTTCTTTATTAGAAATATTAACATAATGATAAGCATATTAAAGGAACAAGTGCTAACATTCCAAACATAAAATATCTCCCCAGCTTGGGAGAAAGTTACTTTCATGTGAGTTTCATTCAAAAAAGATAAAAAAGCAGAGTCTTCATTCCATGAAACTAACATCTGCGTAACTTAATCCTGAGATGTTAATAATTAAAACAGGTTTACCCTGTATTTTCTTCCAATTAACTTTTAGAGCTCAGGTGGGGGAAGATAAATTCTATTCCCCTTTGGGCACAATCACATAAATGGTCTGAGCCTTACACCCAGGCAACCCAACCACTTCCTCCTTTTGAGGTAAATGTGACTGAGGACAGAGTCTGCAATGCAGAACACCATGAGGTCTGTTATTGCCTGAGTTGAAAGAAATCCATCCGGCTAAGGTGAATGAACAGTGAACATATATAAAACATTTCTCCGTGGGTAACTTAAATCTCATTTGCTGTGGAAAGCTGTTAATACACAAAATAATGGGGAAGTCCAAATTAATGCCCTTTCTAAGTCACTTTCCAGATTGGATTTGTACCTTAAAATACAAAAAAGAGTAGCAGGAGGGAGAAATGGGTATTTACTACCTTAAAATAGAATTCCTGTTATGGAATGATAGGGTACAGTTAAAAGAAAAATCGTTTACCCTCAGGTGATAGAAAATACATAAACTTACAGATGAAGCATATATATTGCCAAACGATCTATTTAAATGTGAAGCTATCCTCTTTCCTCTGTATTTTCCTAGTTCTTTACTCCATCTAGTTTAATTATTCACAAGATTATATCCCTGTAACATCTTGTAATAGCTTCATAGATGTATTTCATTGGTATACTGGAGGACTTAATCATTAATAAAATAAAAGAATTTCTGTCAGCACAGTAAATTAATTTCTTGCCTTTGATATTGTTCTAAAGACTAGGGCAGATAAGGAGTCAAATGTAATTCAGATAACAGTCTCAATTAAAAAGACAAACGAATTAAACATTTGTGATCTGAATCATGCACTTGAAAAATATCTGCATGCATTATTTAAAACGCCATTTTTTAAAAAAAAAACAGACTCTGAAACGCACATGGCAAGAATAGAGTATGGTTGCTGGATATCACGATAAATTTTTATATGGGACATTCTTCATATGAAAGGCTGAAAAAAACACTAGCCAAACTACATGTGTATTTAGGATACTAATGGGTTTTTTCTTAGGGATAGCATCATGCCAACATCTTGGTTTTCCTTTCTTAAGTAAACCACCACTGCCAGATATCTTGTCAACATCCTCTACTCATGTTGCTCTTTATCCTGAGGAGTTGTATTTTTATTGTTTGGAAAAGACTTTGAGAACATCTGAAATAAAATTACTTATCTAGCTCCTGAACAATGATATGGTGGGGTGTTAGGGGTTTTTTTGAAGAAATGTATCATGAACTACTACATCTAGGATGACATGTGGAGAAGCTTCATTAAACTGTACTTTTACAAAACAGGTACTATTGTATTTGCTTCTTTTCCTTACCAAAAATATTGCCATAGTTCTGCTCTACATACCAGTATGTACCGTTTATTCTCATGAAATAACAACAAAGCATCTGATACCACTTTTTTTCTGAAAAACTTGGGTCCTACATGGCTAAAATAAGAACTTTAATTTTCACTTATTTAAAGTAAACTTAAGCAATCTTAATTTCAGAAAAATTTTCAAATACTAAAGACTAAAACCCCAAAGCTAAGTTTGCGATTCTGAAATCATTTTCTTACCTCTGGGTAGCAAAATTCTTGTGCCTGAAGGTTGGTAAAACCATTGCTTAATAATTAGTATTGCTTTCTTGAACAGCTAGCAGATACATGCAGAATAGCCAGAGTAAAGTATGCCCTGATACACAATTTAGTACACAAACATAGCAATGAAATATAGAGCTTTAATGCACATATATTTTGTATCACTTTTTATTTGTACATGATCTTGTCAGAATCCATATGTAAATGATGAATCTAATAAGATCTTAAGTAATCTTGTGTAAGAAAGATTAATGAAGCACTGTAAATAATTTAAACAGCACTGTTTTGCAATTAAGATAATAATCGATTGCTTTCAATATTTTTTTAATCTCCACCAAACTTATCAGCATCAATTATTAGCATCACAGATGATATTCCAGGTGCATCCTGCTTTGTAAACAACCCTCTGTGTCTGTACAATGTGCACAAGTTACAAGGCAAACAAGACTTCAAGTCCTAAATATCAAGAATATCATCTATAACTAGGAAACCAGATTATTTTAGAACTTGATATGATTTGAAAAGAGTCAATACAATTTCAACTACTCTCCAGCTTTCAGGACAGAAGCAAGAATTCTCCCCAAAAGCTCTGTCCCCCATTATTTCCACTAATTCCATTTCTAGGCTACTCTCAGTAGAGCTGTCTAAGTTGTTCTTACCTTGTAAAATAGTATGTCACAACAGCACCTGCTACTGTCATCTGCTGACAGGCTAGGATAAACTCGCTGATCCAGATGAGTCCCACTACATGGTACCACCACATGTATTTCAAAGGACCTAACATCCGAAATTCAACAAATCCTTCTTCATTTGGGACAGGACTACCTAGAAATAAATGAGGGTAAAAAAAGGAAATGGTGCTTATGTCATCTCAGAAAGAAGAAAGCATATGGCATCTGACCCTATTTGCACAAAGATTTTGTTTAACTGGTATCAGTGAAGATACTGAATGCATGTAAGGCTAAAAGCATAAATTAGCCTTTGCAGAATCAAGGCCAATTGAAGATTTCCATCAGTAAAGTATAATATCAGCCTAAGTTCTGCTACAAATTTAGTCCCTGTGCAGCGGTCTTTAACTCACAGAGTGAAGCATGGGACTGAGATTTAACTCACTTTCAGAGGCAAACATTTTCTGCACATAATTCAGCATGTAATGAAAACTAAAAATTTCAACAGTAATGATAACAAGAACACATGAATTCTATTACCTCCATCCCTTGCTAAGAATTCAGGCTATGAAATATAAAATACTTAGCTTGTCTTAACCTGAAATAGCTCTGTCACCTGAAACACTGCTACTTTTGAATCCACAGTAAACAATAAATTTCAAAGTCTAAGGTTTTAATAATGAATGATGGTCTCTATTTCCTACAACTTACTGCAAAATAACACAGACATCTCCCATTTTGACAAGGAGTTGCTGGGTTTCTCTGCTGAAGTAACTAAGACTGGACCTACAGGATCGACTAACTAGAAGCTCTTATCAGACTGTGAACACAAATGAAACTCTCATCTTCTATGCTCTTCACAGCAGGCAGAAATTGAGAGTACACTGGCTGCTCTCAGAATACAGTGTACAAACAGCAGAAAAATCTCCCTAATAATCCTAGAAAATGCTGGAGTAATACTGGACACCTAAGTTATGAACAACTGAAAAGTACTTCCAGTATATTTACATTCTGGGAGACAGTAATTGTGTGCAACAGCCCTTTCATTACTATGTCTTCACTTGTGTGAGTACTGGCTGCAATACAATACTTTATGGGATTAGCTGCAAGATTAGGCTGTTTTTAACCTGTTTGTGTAAAATTAAGAGGGAATTATTTGAAAAATTGTTATAGCAGCCTTATTAATGGTGCCTTGTGGTTTGCAACATGCCAACTTACATCAAATCAAAAAGCTGGCCTAAGGCACAAGTAACATACTGGGAATGCAGACTCAAACGCACAACAACTTTCTTGAAATGAGTGTTCTGAAGTCACTGAAGCAGACAAGAACAGAAGCACAATATGTGGTGGGTTTTTCTCCTAGAGGTTCCCACATGATTTTTAACCAACGCTGCCTGAAACCTTGCAAAAATGAAGTGGAATTTGTTTAAAATAAAACTGGTAAATGCTTACCTGTAGTACCAAGGAAAAGCAGGACTGTGATCCAGTATGTCCAGAAGAGGATAAGCACAAAGAATGTCCAAAATGGCTGGAAGACTAGCAGTGGCAGGTGAATGAAGACCTTGCCGGCCACGTGGAACAAGGCAATGGTGAGAGCTACTCGTTTGCGCATAATTAACATTATCAAGAACAAGATAACCTAGAGGGAGATGTTTCCAAATCACATTTTAAGACAACTGAAAAATAAGAAAGCTATCATTTTGCACAGCTAGGATATCCAAACACAGCAAATTAACACATGCTCTATCTATAAGATCACAAGATCAAAATGTAAAACATCTATCAGCTTCTTCTGGTGATAAATCATTTTCCAAATTATACTTCTGGGGAATTCCAAGGTCATAATTATATAATTGGAATCATCATCGGCCTCAGGCTGATGAGATTAGACCAGATTTTATCCTCAATTATGTTTTACAAAACAATGAAATCAGCAAGATTTAACGAAGAATACAATTTAATATTTATGTTTGAGCATGGTGTGGTGGTCTTGACATGGAAGCTAATCAAACTTTGTAATTTTGAGTAGTAAAGTCACTGACTCTGAAATGAACAGCAAGGCCTAAAGAAGATAAATAATTTTTTCAGTAATCAGTATTTCAGTTCACAATGATCCTTCTGTAAATGGAAAAAGATTGGGAACAACAGATTTCATAAGTAGCAACGGTCTAAGGACTTTCAAATAAACTGAAATGACTAAGTACCTCTGAACTAAGAATCTAAGAAAAATCTCCTAAGTGAAATTGGATAGGGAGACCAATATTGTACCTATTCTTAGAAGTCCCTCTGGACATTTTACAGTAGATGAAAGTAGCTGCAGGGTTAGGAACTCTTTCCTGACTCAAAACCAGATATTAAAGAACAATGCCTGGAAGTTAAAAAAAAAAAACAATCACTGCAATAGAGCTTGTAGTACAAATAAACTCTTCAAAAATCTGTGCAATATAAACGTTTCACCCGAATTAAAAAAAAAAAGAGACCACCAGGAAGACAGAACAAGAAAATAATATAGTCATTAGCAAAACATACCGTGAAGACTGTAGCTGAAATGGCATAGATCAGGAGAGCCTGAAGATTGTCTTTGGCTATTTGAGTCTCAACAGCACTGGCAGATACTCGTTGCTTAGCATAGAGCCACCACAGGACCCCTGTACCACCTATGTTTTAGAGAAAAAAAAAGGATAAACGTAAGATGCTTCTTCTGCGTGACACAGTCATACTATCTAGTACCAAAGAAACTAAACCGTTACTTCTTTTTAAGTCTAGTCTGGTACAGAATACTCAAGGGCACTGACGCTTAACCCAACAGGAACTTCTCAGGAGGGAGAAGCGCTTAGCTCTCCTGTGTTGCCCTCAAGTGGATATACTCTTTTCACAGTCTCACCCCACTACAACCACTTAAGAGACTTGCAGCTCTTTGACTCTGTGTTTTAGGGTGAACTGCATGGAAGGACTAGTTTATGGGGAGCCCTAACAATGAAGAACTCAGCTCCCATTAGATAGGCAATAAAGAAACAAAAAGAAGAATAAAGAGTTATACGGCAGGATATATGTATATACATGTATAATAAGGTAGGGAGTAAGAATTTAGAAGCAACAGAGAGGGACCTTTGGATTAGGATCCAAAATAACAGAAGGAACAAAAGGAGGAGTTTACAACTCCTGGGAAGACTAATCGAGACGAAAAGGAACAGCCCTGATGCTGAAAACAGCACCTCAGGTTAATGACATGTAGCTACACCTGCATCAGACAATGTCTTTTGAGCACTGGAAAAAACATCAGAGAGGCACAAGAGGCCAATATAACACAAGGTACTTTCTTCTAACCCCTGTTACCAAATCCTAGCCTTATGGCCACAATATCATTCTCCTATTCTAGCCACCTTTCCAAGTTAGAACTTTTCTTAAATACAGGACTCCAGCCCCTCAGGGAGATAACCTCTCTCCTCTGATACATTTTTTTTCTGAGTATCCTTCTGTGTTCTGTTGTTATTTCTGAATCAGCTGCATAAGCTTATCTAGAGATCACAAGTCTTTGCTGAAGGTACTCCATTCAGGTCTAAAACAGTGAATACAGAATAAGCGGTATGTCTCACAAATGACATGTTCTTATTCAGTCTGTGTAATGGATGAGATTTTTTAGAACATAATAACAGATGGCAATAAGATATGTCATTCAAATACTTCACTCAACATAGTTGCTCAGCTTCTAAAGAGAATATAAATGAAAAAAAGAAATCTATTTTTTTCCTTTTCTGTAGTCACAGATCCTGACACCAGTAAGCAGAAAAACCAAGTGACCCTGAAAAAACAGATATGGTTTGCTGATTTTTTTCCATCCCTTGCAGTTATGAATTGCAAGAATGAAATTGCTAGTGCTTCCTAATTTGATTATTCTATTTTTTTTCCCTCCCTACAGTCATCTGCCTATACATTTTGGCTTAGCTACTGAGTATCAATAACAGAAAACTTTAGTTTTACAAATGTAAAAGTTAATGTGATAAAGTACAGCTATTTTCATGCAAGCTGCATGATTTTGTATGGGACAATCTTTGGCCATTCCCAAGACAGCGTGGCTGGTTGCATTTCATACATAACCTAGCTGATGCAGGACTTTCTGAGTCATATGGAAATACAAGGCTTTAATTAGAAATGCTAGAAAAGCACCTTTGCTTCCTCTCCGCAAGAACAGGTCTTAGATACACCTATGGAGCTACTCAGAGGACTGAAAGGGTTGATGAACATGTCGGGGTTGTATGGACACTTCTACATCTTAAGGTCCCCTGAGGCTGCATAAAAAATAGCTACCCTTTGATTCCTGCATGCTTGAGTATGCCCAGCGGGTGGGTATGCCATCAGATACACCCAGACTGGCAAATCTCTAAGGAGCAACATACTCTCTTGGGAGGGGACTGCAATTACAATGGGGGCATTTTTTACATATGTCTTGCAAGGGACTCAAAGGAAAGCTGAAGGGAAATGTATGGTCCATGATCAGTGCAGGATGTAGCTGGCCTGAGGACATGCAGCACAAAGATTAGAACTGGGCACTCAGAAACTGGGAGACAAACAAGACTTACCAAGTGATCCCAGAATGACAAGAATTGTTAAAATCCAGACAAGTACTCTTGAAATGTACCTGATTATAACCATCAAAATCATGGACAACACTGCAAAAGAAGATAAATAATATAAGCAGAGCAATTATTTCAAGTAGAAATAGCCTTCCTAATTCTCCCACTGTACTAAGGTAGCTGCCTTCCAACAGAATTTTTAGACAGGGATTTATTTTCTGAGGCTTACAAACTCACTGCACAGACAGTTAAGGAAATTAGGCACCTCTACAACTTTTGCTTTGATTACTGTTGATTAAAACAAAGAGAGCATAAATACATTTACATGGTACATTAAATACAAGACATAATGCATACATACAGAGATGTATTTAGACAATGACAAAACACACAGCAAGACATGACAGTACTCCCAGTCTGGTAACATGAGAACACCGCCTGAGGACCAGAGCAGAATTTACACTCAAATACACTTGTCAAACAAATGCAGATAATGTGACACCTGTGTATTCCAAAATGTCATGCCAGTAAAAAGTAAAAGAATTACGATTTTATTTTCAACATTCAGAATGAGTTCTTTAACAAGCTTTGTTCACATAGTTCCACTGCTATTCAGGAACTGCACGTCAAAAAGGCCTCTACAATCTCAGCCAAGTAAGATTTAGTGAGTGGTGTGTGTAAGGGCACACACATATTTTTGCATATACGTATTTGTGTACAGTAGTTACATGAAAGCCACTGGAACATGGTTTTCTGAATCACACAATCTTACTCATTGATTAGAAATAAATTCTATTTAACTATGAAGGTATGAAAAATATTTTTTAAATTAACTGTATGCAAAACTCAGTATTAGCTTCTGTCTCTAAGCAAACAGTAGCACTGCTGATCAGCCACTAGCTTTCAGATTCGGAACAGTCTTTCTACTGTTATTATCAAACACTGAAGCAGTCAAGATAGAAGAACAAACAGCTTTCTAGTTATAGTTGAAAAGATACTCAATGGTCTCTTTTGTGGTTTTCGTTTGGTTTGGTTTTTTTAAATGGTATCTAGCACCCTCTTCTTTGTTTTTTTTTTTAACCACAAAGGCAGACTGAAGAAAAAGGACTTATTAATCTGGTATAGTTTCACAGTGTTTCTTCCTAAACCACACACTGCTCATATACATGGCTAGCATGAGGAGCCTCCCATTTTGGGATTTCAGATTTTATACTTGGTACGAGTAAAATAGAGTCATTAGGAGAGTAATTTCTGTGGGTGAGTAGCTTTCCACCTTAATTCACAAGACTTCGTTAAAACAGCACTTCAGTCTAGTGCAATGTGTCACTCTATAGGCCAGAAGCATCTCCCAGCTATAGAAACAATTCAGCACATCTATACTGCTGGGAATTTCCAGCTCTTCAGACAAGGCTGAGATTTTCAAAAGTGCGAAGTTTTTAATTTTAGGGGAAGGGGAAGAAGGAGGTAACATACAATACAACAAATGGGCACCTAGGTTTCTTGTTTTCCCTTTGAAAGTTCTCATATCCCTGCACAACTATGTTAAATGAAACAAAGTAAACCCCCTACATTCTAGCAGAGTGTGCTATTGTGCATTTCTCATCCTGTCCTTTTTATTTGGAAAGGGTTTACTTGGACTTGGGTTGGCAGAAGATGAATATTAGAAATGGGAAAGGGGAGTAGTATAATAAAAATTTGGAGAATGGGGAAGCTCTGTTAATTATACCAAAACTAACAGTGGCTAACCAACAGCCATACATCCCCTATCTCATAATCAGTGGAAGAGGAGAAAAAACAGGAATGCATATGTATACTGCTTTTGAATAAGTTATCCAGCTGTCAAATAAAATTTTTAAAAAGCATTCTGGACCATATTCTAAGGGCTCATTGCTATCATGCATGTTTCTTGCTCATATTGTAGTTAGAGGGTGTTAACAATCTCCTAATGCAGTACTAAGAAATAGCTAGTAATGAGAAAAACAATTACCTAGTGATAACAAGCAAAGTCCCATTATAATCTCTTTGCTGGTCATAACTCCACTAATCAGCCTGTGTAAGACACTACTGTCACTGACAAAGGTGATCAGGGCCTCTGCAAACTTGGCATAGCAGGAAATGTTCACAGGAGCACAGCGATGGAAGAATGGAATAGGTGCACTGGTGACACAAGAAAAAAAAATCAGAAAAAAAAATTACTCCTACTTAATATAAATGCCACATCAACACACAAATGAAAGGTGAATAGATGCAACCATTCCACCCTCATAACATTATAACCAGGAACCATGTGTTGAAAGCACAAGTGCTGCTGGAATGAAGATGATCATAATGGGAAGTGATGTAGTTCTTACAAGTAATCCTGTGAGGCTGGAATGCACAGTCCAATAGGAAATTATTACCCTCCCACCCTTAAACAGCAAGGATCAGAAAATACACGTTCCTATTTCTGCTTAAGCATCTCTCATTCAAGTGTCAGGTGGTGAACCAGCAGCTGAAACAATGCCTTTCACTCATGTTAGAATGGAATACTGACCCATATTTGCAGCAAAAGAAATCCCAGAATGACAATACTCTTCCTGCAAGCATACTTTTTATGCTTAAAGACATCAGCACGTACAACTGCTGCCAAGCAAAACCAATGTATTTATTCTTAGTCTTTCCCCATACTAAACTTGCTCTTGTATTGAAGATTACACAGTATTTACTTCCATTAATTTTGTTAAAATTATGCACTACATTCTTTGCAAAACATGCAAAGATGCCTCTATTGTTTCATTATTCCTGAACTGTTTTGGAAGCATCCTCCCCAAAAATACTCACGCAATGCATTAAATTTTGCAGAATGCTCAGCAGAACCTGTTATCAAGTCCATCAGAGGACGATACAGGAGAGCAAAAACTTCACTTTAAAACTGGGTAATTTTGTTTTCCAAATGTTTCCCATTAGAGTAGCTGCCTTTCTGGCTCATAAACTATCTCAGATCTCAAAGTGGCCCATTACATCTTTTGATCAATCTTCCCAGTTACACTTCAGACACATTCCATGAATTACATGTTCCTTCCTGTAGTTGGATCCAATGAAAGAAATGTCTTTCATATTAAGTCAGTCTTTTCTTCTAACCTCTGTACTTGTTTCACTCAGCCCAATCTTCCTTACTTAAAGATTTCAGTGGACTGTAGCAGCAATGCACATAATCTTTTGCAGTTTCCTACATTTCAGCAATGACCTATAAACCAGCAATTTTCTGTACTCAATAACTGTTTGTTAAGCCCATGCCTTTCCAAAATTCTGTCATTTTAAACACGTAGTGAGTAAACCAGCTGCCTTAGGCACATAGTTTCTATGCATTGTTTTTTCGATGTAATCAGTGTGTAATTATTCTGTACAGAATTCAGGATTATGATCACCTGACATACCTAGGTAATTAGTAGATCCTAAGCTTTTGTTTGAAGTGACTGACAATTGTAAATTATATGGTTTTAAACTTACTGTGCTGAGTAGGTAATGCATTTGGAGATACTCGTGTGGATGGTCTACTTTAGGGTACTGATGAAGACAGCAGTTAAGCATAGCAAAGTAATTGTGAATTAGTCACAGTTGTTAAAAACCAAATTAAACCCATAATGATGGCTGTCCTATTTAAAAGGCAGCCCATGTATCCTCTCAGCCTCTTACAACATAGCCTATTTTGGAATATGTAGCATACTGCAGTTCATTATATGCAGTAATACTGGAAAAGACTGAAATTTGGGAGGTTTATTTAATTGTTAATTGCTCCAACTTTGCAAAAAGCCTAGAGCATTTAGAACTTGCCAATATCAGTAACAAAGCTCAAATTTTGAGCTGGGAGTAGGCAAAGGACTGTCATTCCTGCATCCAAATATGAAAATATCCATTTTGAAAAGGGGAACTAATGGGATTAAAATACTGTTCCAAAATACATCCCAACAGAGGAAAAATTGCTTTTTGCCTACCAGAGTTTATATTACTCATCTAACATCCCTTAAGCCATAAGAATCTCACTACACATTTTAAATTACCTATTATTGTGTGCAATAATTAAGTTCTAACTGTTGTAATTAATAAAAAAATGAGCTTGGTGGTTCCTACAGGCTTTCTTGAGTAAATGGGACTCCTGAGAATCCACCTTTTCAGATCTGCGCTGCTTCAGTGGTTCTGACTGAATAAGTGAGGTAAGGTGTCTCAGTTAATAAAAAACACAATAATAGATCTATTCTGCGTGACCTGTGCTATTTTATATGGCCTCTTGATTATAACTTGGTATATTACATACTGAAATGGAATTACAAGTTTCTGAGAATAACAACATGATGCTTAATCATGAACAAGAGCAAGTGGAGTTCAAGCCAGCAGATGATGGTGTTAAAAATTGTATTTTTAAAGCAACATTCAAATGAAGTTAAGAGACCCATCTGATTGTTCGAGTACTAGATTTCAGAGGAGAGCTTCTTCCTCTCACTACTACACCCGGACATATACAGCAACTTCTGTGTGGGAAGCCTGGTTGGAATGCCACTGCTAGCTGCTCTTTATAACATCTACAGGGCAGCCCCTTGGCACAGCTCAGCACAGCTGGTTGACAGATAAATGCTGCAGGGATAAGCTGGATAGGTTTTCCTCTAGGGTCCTCTAAACAGTGAAGTCATGCTCTACTGAGGCTGAGATAGGCTGGGCACGACTTCTGGAAGACACATGTATTGCTGGCTGCATTGCTAGACGGCACTGCTGTGTCAAAGTTGGACATAATGCCTTGAACCTGAAGGACCAGAGTCCCTTGAGAGGTGGAGCCTCAACTGAAGGGCATGAAGAAGCCTGGTCATCAAACAGACAACATCAAGGGACAGTCCTCACAGCATACGCTACCTTCATCCCAGGGACCTAATGGGAATCAGATGATGGTTCATACCTCTGACATCAAATCTGAGGAGTGTTAGATAAGTTCTCCCTGAATGCCTCAGCCTACAGGGTGTTGAGTTTTCAATTGTTTGTCTCCACAGGATTCTATTTCCCCTCCAAATTACACTAATTTACTCAAATAATTTAACTATAAAAATCTGAAAAACAGAGTGGTTTACAGATGCAATATTGGCCTTTTTCGCCTTAGAGCATTAAGTTCAGACTTTTCAACCTCAAAAATATTGAAACATATTGTACATTTTATTCATACCAAATAAAAAAGGCAAAATGCTCCACCTACACAATAGCTTTTCAAAAATAACTCCTGAGGTAGTTTTTGTGAGGAATTTACATAGTGTCATTAGAACTCTGACACACTGTTCTTCTGTCTTCTTATTAAGCTATATTCATTCAGACTGAATGACATAGGAACACACAGTGAGAAAAGTCAATATAATTCTGGCAAAAATGAAGATTGACAAGCCTTTTCAGTATGCAAGCTGGCACTGAAGTTTTCATTTGTTTTTGTATTACAGCTATAACAGCTGGTTAGCTGCATGGAATATTAATCTGCTGTGGGGAAAAGTAAAAAAAAAAAAGTTAATATTCCAGCTGCTACTTATTGTCACTACAATATAAAAAAATTATTCACTGGAGAAGCTACCATGCAGACAAGAGAGACTTAAAATCAGAGTTTTTAGAACTGACACAATTATAACATTTAATAAAACCATAACAAAAAACTGTGCATAGGAAAAGACTCTGCAGTTACAACCTACTACTGAATATGTTTGAGAAGCTAAATTTTGAGAAAACACGATTCTTCCTGAGTGAGTGGAATTACTGACAGAAGGGTGTGCAGAAGAGCAAACAGATCACTTTTCTCAGCAATGCTCATCTCCACAGCTCCAGCCAGCACAGCTAGCAGAGTTTCTGGAGCTACGAACTTTTCTACCCTACTTCACAAAAAGCAGTCTAATATAATACTTTAAACAATAAAACTTAAATTGATCTGTTTATAAAATACAGCCCTCTTTTTGGTACTTGACCATCCTCATATTAGTCATTCAGAGACCAAAAGAATAAAAAATGAAGCAATTTGCCAAATCTAACTGGCTGATATAAGTTATAAGAAGTGAACACTGCAGAGCGCTGTGTGTCAATAGATCCTTTTTCCTCCCAAAGATCCAAAGTGCTCCATAATTGTCTCTGATCTGCACTGCTGACAGGCAGCTGGCTATAGGGTGAAAGGCAGTAAAACAGCTGATACTCAGCACAGTGTCAGTTACATGAGATAGAAGAGAACTTGAAGGTACCTGCTCTATACTCTCAGTAACACATGCATGATAGTCTGGGTTTTTCTTTAAGAGCTGCTCTCATAATCTTTTAAAAACATGTGGCAATAATACACAAAAACATCCACCTGTAAAACAGAATAAATCTGTGCTGCATATTTTCCGAAGAACTGTCACAAGCAAACCAAATCTCTGCTCCCTCCACCCCCAATCAGACAAGATGTTAGTATTACCTCTCTGGAACAGGATATTTAGGACATAACTTGGCGGCCCTTGGGTCTGTAGTGTACTCCGATGGCTGTAGTTCATAGCTACACAGAGTGGATCCTGTTGAGGGAAAAAAAAAAAAAAGATTGATGGGGAAAAAAATAAAAATCAAATATTCCCATTCTTTGCAAACAGTATTAAAACTGAGGTAGGTCCTGATTCTGCAGCTCCTCATGTTATTACCACAAAGTTATGCTACAGTTCCTCCTGTAATGGAACAGTGGATCAAGCCCAATACAGGCTTCAGTGTAACAGAATGACACTCTCCATCTACTTTTGGGTCTTCCAACATTTGTGTGTTCAGGTGGAAAAGGCTAATTCACAATGCAGTGTAAAAGACGACACACAAAGCACTTGGAAGTCCTCCCCTGCTACTCCACCAAGCTTTTTCTTGATCATTTTTAGTGCATGAATATTGTATAAGACAACATTCATTATGGAAAGAAAACATTCAAGTGTTTTTTCATTTTGCTGTTTGTTTTTTTTCAAAATACAACCATTTTTTCAATATTCAACAATACAGTCTATAAGCTCCAGGGAGACAAACAAAGGAACCAAACTGCTGAAGTTAGAAACTTGGCTCAAAACCAACACAAGCTCTCCATTAGATGTCCAAAACTTTTAACGAAGCTGAACTCTCTCCATAAACAAATTGCTACAGCACAATAAAGATCAAGTTGCCTACAAGAAAATTCAAACATAATTTAAGGATTCCTTAGTACCTGACACTTGCCTAATGGAAGTACATTACTGAGACAGATCTCTTTCCATTTGTCTATAATCAAGATATTGAACATCTGAGCCAATGCTTCTAGGAATATAGCAACTGCCAAATCAGACTGGAGCAGCGGTCTCTCAGAAACTGGACAAAGAGGTAAGAAAGCCTCCAGCGGTACAAGCTGCCTATCCAAAGATGAGTTTCTACCCAAGATTGCTTACTCCCCAGTGCAAGGGCTCTGGATACATAGCCTTTAGTGTCCTTGTTTCCTACATAATAAACTCAGGACATCTTGATCATCCCTATAAATATTCAATTCTTTCGATTATGAAAATCTCCTCTCCAGAAATACTCTGTAGCAGAGAGTTGTACAAACTGGATCTGGATAATACATACACACTTTTACCCAAATTAAAACAAGACTTTTCACCAACAGCCTCATCTTGGCTTGTGTGACACCAAACAGAAGTATTATTTGTAGAAACTGTAGAATATCATTTGCAGAAATCTTGTTTACCATTACCACATTGCTACCTCTATGAAGAGACATCATCTGTTTACAGACTGAAACAGAAGACAGCAGCTGAGCAGGCTATCCCATGCAGTATCTGGAACACTACCTAAATACCACTTCTACGAATTAGTTTTTGGGGGGCAGGTCCAAAACACCAAATACACTACTGAAGAAAGTTAGATTTCCCACAAAGAGAAGGTTTCAGGTAAAACATCTGAACTCTATTTTCAATTCTACTCTTTATATGAATCCTTAGGACTCTACTTGCTTATGTGGAAAATATGGTGTCAGATAAACAGACATCAGATAAAACTACCTTCATTATATTGTAGCTGTAAACATAGTATCTAAAAAGTAATTATTATTCTTTTTGGACAAAAGGCTCTATACTGCTGCAAAATTTTTTATTCTGTTCTTGTAGATATGAAAACATCTGGATCAAGTGCATTTACAAACAATTCTAGAATTTGATGGAGGGGAAGCAGTTGAGAGAGTCACATGTTTATCTTAAAAACAGAAGGAAAAAAGAAGATTGCAGATATTTACATTTATTTTGCATTGCTTTGAATATAGGCCAAAAGCTAAGCTATAAAGATGGTCGACAGCTGGCTGAATATGAGCCAGCAGTGTGCCCAGGTGGCCAAGAAGGCCAATAGCATCCTGGTTTCTATCAGAAATTGTGTGGCCAGCAGGAGCAGGGAAGTGATCGTCCCCCTGTACTCAGCACTGACGAGGCTGCACCTCAAATACTGTGTTCAGTTTGGGGCCCCTCACTACAAGAAAGACAGTGAGATGCTGAAGCACGTCTGAAGAAAGGCAACAAAGCTGGTGAAGGGTCTAGAGCACAAGTCTTATGAGGAGCAGCTGAAGGAACTGCGGTTGTTTAGCCTGGAGAAAAAGGAGGTTCAGGGGAGACCTTATCGACCTCTACAACTAACTGAAAGGAGGTTGTAGCGAGGCTGGTGTCAGTTTCCTTTCCCAAGTAACAAGCAATAGGACAAGAGTAAACGGCTTCAAGTTGTGCCAGGGGAGGTTTAGATTGGATATTAGGGAAAATTTCTTCACCAAAAGGGTTGTCAAGCACTGGAACAGGCTACCCAGGGCAGTGGTTGAGTCACCATCCCTGGAGGTATTTAAAAGGCATGTAGATGTGGTGCTTAGGGACATGGTTTAGTGGTGGACTTGGCAGTTTTTACTGTTGGACTTGATGATATTAAGGGTCCTTTCCAACCTAAATGAATCCATGATCCTGTTCTATGATTTTATGACACGAACAAGAAGTTCCACAGGAAGAAGGGGGGGTGTGTATGTGGACAATTGTATACAGATTCGTGATACAGAATGTGCACTGCCAGCTTGGTCATTCTGCCATTCAACACTACCAGTGTTGAACTACAGTTAAATATCTTATGCAGAGGCCCCCACACCTAAATAGGCGTAAGGGATACAGCTGATCTGTGGATAACCATGCCTCCTTGTGACTTCTAGCAGTTCAGGAAGAAGAGAAAAAGGGTAGGATTTGCTACGGCCAGGGAAGGAGGTTCAAAGTTCCTTGCACAAATCTGTATCTGAAAACCTTCTGCTTGGATCACAGATGTAAGCCAAGCAAAACCAAATGCCAGATTCTGATCTGCATACAGGTCACAAGTCATTCAAGTAGGCCTTGTAGACTAGGGTAACCCAACAAACCCCTGGCTGTGGAGGAAACTGGACACACCTTGCCAGGTCCCTCTGGAACCCAACGTTGTGTTCCCTCTTGTCATGCAATGGAGCAGTGGATGACTCTGGCTGCCACTGTCAACTCTTGCCTGGGAACTGCTCTTGGGGCTCCTTTGGAACTCTTCCCTTCAGCTGTTTACCTCACATAGTATGCTTCTTTAGAACCCCAGCCAAGCACAGAAATATTTTCATGGAGCTTGTCAGACAAGGGACATTAACCACCCTGCATCTAAAGAAACTACCAGTCCAATAGCTGAAATAATCCCCATGATATTTATTTGTCCTTTTGTCCTACATAATTAGGCAGAATAAATTTTTACTATTCCCACAAGTATTTATTTCTTTATATTTTGAAAACCTTCCAACTTCTCTAATACTGTGTAGGAGAGTTTTACAACCCCAACATGTGCTTGAATAATGTATCACTTTACATCAAATTTAAACTGATTTCTCAACAAAACATCCTGTACATCAATAAATAAAAGTTTTAATTTTGTAAGGTGAGAGTGGGAAGAATGGACTGCTTTGCCAAACCTTCCACCCCATAGTAGTTACCCTGTGTTAGCAGAGACTGTCTTAGCACAGCCAGTCTTACTATTGCTGTTTGAGTTTGCAAGGCCTGCAATAGTTTACAGAATTGAATCATCTACCTTGCTGAGATAATTATTTTACCAAAGACACTATTATTATTCCTAAATTATTGTAACTCGTAAATGTTTCAACAACATTATGGGTAGAATACAGAGAACAAACTAAGAAATTATTAAAGTAATACATCCTTTGCTTCCTACAGCAATGCACATATTTCTTCTGGAGAAATCATTAGGCAAACAACATCAAACTGTCCTACAGGGATTGGATTTGAGATTCCAACATGTTGTAACCTCAAAGAAAAATACTTCTAAACTATGCAGAGCAACAGATGCCAGGCTGCTGATGAGCACACAGAGTTTACTGGTCCCACAGTGCTATAATTTGGTGCTTTCACCTACAAAGTGGTATCCTGGAGACACAGCACAGCTTCTGTTCCATGGTTTCTTTCCATGAATAGAGTTGCTCCAGCCATTGGAATATTTTGGTACTATGGAGCAAAGAATCTCAAAAGACAAACTTCCTTTCAACCTTTATCTAGCCATAGGAGTGACAGCCACCATTTCCTTTACAAGCCTTCTTTCTGTTTTGGCTAGGCTTGGATTAGTAAGGAGCTGAACAGCCATTATCGCTGGCATTTCTAAAACCAGCCACATTTAGCACAAATTATGTAAGGATGCTGTAGAAAGCCAGGACAAAGACAGGGGACCAAACTCTTACTTCAAAGATTCTTTCCAAGTGAGAAGGCAAATTATTAAGGGTCTTGTGTGCTTAGAGGACACAGCACACAGAACAATACATAACCCCCTGCCTTCCACAGCAGTACAGTAAATAGGAAGTTCCATACTAACCCAAGGTGGTTAGATAAAACTACTTTTAGAGACCACAGCTTCAGTACAGCTTTCCTTCCTGCATTTGCTGTGTTGTAAAAAACCACACAAAACCCCTGCTACATCATCATCACTATCAATATCAAAGTTTACAGCTTCAGAAATGGTAAGACTTCCTAAGTCATCCACTCAGAGGACCAGCCCACAGAGGAAACCAGTGACTGCCTGAATGATAGTGGTGGAAAGCACGCCAGGGTGGATCCCATTCTGAGCTGCTCAGCAGTGCCTATCCATCTATCAACACTGTTAGCAGGAACTAAAACAAGGACTTTCATATCTTAAAACATGGAATCATATTCAGAGTCAAGGATTTAAGCAGAAAAATATGGAACTATGAAGAGATACCTGGGATAGCTTCAGTACCAGAAACAGAACAGTCACCTTAAGGGCTTAGGAGTATGTTCTACTTATGTTAGGCGTGGCTCCAAGCAGCTCCACATACCCCTTTTCACAGGCACGTGGCAAAGCACAGCCTGAGAGACTAGAAACCAGTTGTGATAAGGTAATTTATATGGTCTTCCATGTATGGTCTCACTGTTCTGAGTCTGACTGACAATATGCATCTATTGCGCACATACGTGACCGAAATGACTTCTAAAACACCCTATGATGAAGCAGAGATTATTGT